GGTTTACAGCTCTGATAAGGAGACAAAAGGATTATTTGAGAGCAAAAGAAGTACCTTCAGCCATTTACAGAGCACAAAAATCATGGCTATAACCACAAGTTAAGAAAGTCATGGTCAGATTTATAATGAAATGTCATATCTTACAAAAAACAACAGGCAACTAAAATACAGATTGGACCTTTCGGGTGATTTTCCCTATTGTTTGTCTTTTTACTAAACAGATCATGCTGTAACTCAAACTATCAGTGTATTTATTCATATTTTAAGAGTTATACTGATAGCCCTAAGATACAGATAGAGGCTCTGTTCCAACCCTATTGAGCTGCTTTGCTGTCTATTGCCTTCTAAGGCAGCATCCTAACTGAAATGGATCAGACGCTGCCTTCAAGTACATGCGAGAAGCTCATACCTCATTCGTTATTAAGACAGGTCACAAATTCAAGTCAAAAACATAACATGGAAACAATCTAATCGAACCAAAAGTATTATATTTTAAACAGAAAAAGAATGACATCATAATTCAAAATTAAAGTTCTGAATTCAATAGCACTTATACATTCAATAGTACTTATACATGGCACTGTATCACAACTAAATGTGTTACATTAAGCAAACCGTGAAAGCTGTGTGATTAACTTTACACTATTCACAGACTTGCTTTCTGATAACTGAGCTCTATAAATAGATTCTAAATATTATATTATCAATATTACAGATCAATGTTTACTCCACGTTTTAAATTGACATGTCCTTCCCAACGCCACAACTCAGCAACTCGTTTATCATTCTAGAATTCATCTACTTTCTCACTTGTAAATAAGATTTTGCTTGATCGTTCCATGTGCTCGGAACCCATAATTATGTTTTTAACTCCACTTGAAAGGCACAATAGCAACTAAACATGTTGCTAAGCATGTTGCTAAGCTAACAACACGACAGCACAAATACATAGCAACAATTATAGGGTAAAAGAGACTATTTTGTATCAAAAATTACATATATAACTATATTTACGATCAACATTTGTCTTGCTTTGTCGACAATCATGGCTTCGTGTGCTGAGCATGTGCATTGTAGCATAGGCTTATCTGTACATTATGCGAATTTAATGAATTCAACTGCCTTTTAGGCCTTTAAGAACAGAGAAGCAGAACAAAACGTCTTGCAGTTAATCAATTTAAAATGAAACCAGTACTCAGTGACTCATACAGCAACTCAGTCGTTCTTCAACTGAAGGAACGTTTTATAGATATTGGTTAGGACTACAACCAGGCATTGCAGCATTCCACACCACAAACAGAACGCACCACGCCAGCCCCCTAATAAAACTAACTCTGAAACAGTAATGAAAAAGCATTGCATAAACTCTAAACTATGGAACAGCCAAATGACAACAGAACACTAAAAACTATTAGCAGACAACGGGTGCATTGTGGGTGCTACACTACTGCATTTGAATTAATTAAACAAAACACAAACAAACAAACCACAAAAACACCCCCCCAAAAAAGCACTAAGGATTAGCTTTCATATACAGTAATAAAGCAGGTTTTGCTTCATTTACAAAGAAAAGAACAGATTTGTTGACTCGCCTATTCAGACTAGAAAAATCCATACAATTAACTTGATGTCAACTGGACACAAGTAGGCTGATGACCAGCACTCAGTATTATATGTGCATGAAAGTGCATTACAAATAAGGACATTAACTAATTTATAAGAGTGAGTGCATGTGTGACTGTGTTTAACGTGCATCCAGGGAATGACAGATTGAAGGAGGTGGCTGTCGTGAGCAGATAAGGTAGGTCTGTTTACACAGTAATCAAGTAAACAGGTTTGGCTCCACTTTTATTGAGCACTGATTAAGCTCTTCATGAAGCAAAATTAAGCCTACGAGCAACATTGTTTAATTATATCTGACTCATCAAGGACATCAATGAGGCACTCAATGACTAGTATTCATCTTCAGCTCTCTGACCAGTACTCATTGGGTTCCTCAGTCGAATGAGAGGCATTAATAGGTTCATTTCAAAGGAGGCGGAAGCTCTTTTATTATTCTCTTCTCCTACTTCAATATCTGCCGAATGTAATTACTGAGTCGAAGCTAAAACATCTAAAAAAACGACTTTCATAAATTCATTTCAAATGTGCTATCACTCCACCAGCAACAGTAGTTATTTCTTTCAAAACGTCAATACAGAGTCTTTTGTGTCTTTCCTCTCTAGATTCACCCACGTTTCATTTTTATATGGAACCACAAATATCTTATCAACAGTATATTAAATGAGACTTAATTTTCATTTGACTCATAATTTATAGTGTAAAATCACAGAAATTAATGTGCTTGGATGCACAGCCAGTGAAACTATCTAGCTGTGAGGCTTCACAGGGAAGAAAACAGATGCTTTCCTAATCATACAGTCCAGCTATTCCCTCAAAACATAGAACTTTAACAAGCATCTCAAAAGCAAACAGGCCCTTGTGCTTTGAAATGTGTCATTTAACTGATATTCTTACGTCAGAATGACAGCAAATATAAACTTCTTCTGCACACCTTCATCTTTTCTCTCTAAAACATATCCGATGTGCAAAACACAAACAAAAAAACATCAAGAAAAAACTTTCCACACACCGTAGCAGAATATCACAGACTGCACGCTGACAATACCCCAAATGCCCACAGCAAAGCAATTACAGGCTGAACAAGTCATGTTTTAGAACAAAGAAACATCAACAGGTTTGTTTGTGCTTTGAATTACATGGAAATAACTGCAACAAAAGGTCTGTTGTAATAGAGATTGACCGATAAGTGGTTTGAACGATATATTAACCGATATCAAACCGATAACAGTTCTTTTACATTGGGCATTATATAATCAATCTCTAAATAAGACCTCCAACAATGGCATTTACAGGCAAAAATAACTTATTTAATACATTATTTTTGGATAAATAAGCTGCAATTTTAACAGCATCCATTCTCAAGTAAAAATCTGTAGCTTAATAATTAGCATTAGCGCAGAACAATAATGAAAGTAAAAATGTTTACAATTTATCGGACACTTACTAAATATAAAAATAATTGTTATTGGTCAAATAAATGTCAATCTCTGCTACAAATAAATAACCCCATTCCACTACATAAATGTGCTACAGCCTCTTCGTTTCCATTATTAAGTTATAAAAGCTTAACACAAACTATAAAAATAAACGACAAACCCATTTAAAGGGCCATTTAAACATTTTGACAGGTCTCTCGTCGATCTTGTACTGACAAGAATTTGATGGTCTCAAGGAAACTGGTGTAAACATTACAACTTTGCAAACAATAGCACTGATTTGTCTTCAGTCTACAAACAAGTACATACCCAGTAGTTCTTCGAACATGTCACTCAACACTCTAGTCCTCATGCATTGCTTCAGGCTGAATTCTGTTCCTGCATCTGTCGGAATGCCACATTGCAACTGAAGTCAACGCCAAACCAGTGTGTGCGTGTGTGTGTGTGTGTGTTTCTTTCCAGAGAAAGCAAACAGCTCTTTTTCACTTCGCGCATGCAATACAGCACTCATTACGCATCCGCTTACCTTTTTAAATGGCCACTATGACAGCGGTCGTGAAAATCCGAATCAACTGAACGCCACAGAAAGAACTTTGATGTCTCGTGAGCGCATCCTGCGCCGCTCGCGCTGCTCCGCCATCTTCAGCCCGAATGAGCGAGAGCAGCTGACGGGCGCGCGGGGAGGCTCTTCAAAACAGCCCAAAGTTCTGAGCTCCTCCATCCATGCACTACACCCCTGTCATGGTGTGCTACCTACCAGCTGTTTTTACAGAATGACAAGGTGATTTTTAAATGAAACATTCTATCTGATGAATAATGTGTTTGGTGATACATTAAAAACAAATAAATAAATATTATTGTTATTATTGTTAACATATATAGCCTAATGTTATATATTATATACTGATTATATATTAAATGTATGTAGGCTACTCTTAAAAAAGATTTTTGTCCAATCAGATGCTGTCTATAATAAGCAATACCACCTGCAAACCAATCGCCAAGTACAAAATCATGGTTCATAAAAAATCAAAAAGTACGTTACTTGATTTTTTTTTTTAATCTGTAGAAAAATGACCATATTAGGCTAAGCTAGCATCAGCTATTCATTGTTAGCGTCATTTTACTAATTTTTATGAGGGACATAGGCACAGTTTATTTAAAAAAAAAAAAAAAAATACTATTATTAATAAATATATTTTTACATCAAGTTCTTTTGTGCAACAAACAAAAACGAGAGTGAAGAAAAAATTATGGCTACATAACCCTTACAAAATTTACCCTGGTAGTTTTCTGCCAAAAACGAGTCAGGTAAATTTTGTTGAGGTAAATTCGGATTACAGTAGTAACCAGACAAAAGTTAAAACTAATGGACTCATATTGCTTTATGGCAAAGATTATTTCATTTATTTTATCAATATATTTACTATGTGACATACAAAAAAAATTATAATAATAATGACGTTATTTTTGCAGCACAAAACAGTTCAGTGGTATAATGTCTTATTATTATAATCCAATTCTAATTATAATTCATTTCAAATGTATCAAATAATTTTCAAAGATGTATTTCTAATATATATAAATAATAAAACCATGTGAAGCAATAGAATGCCACAAGAAGAGGTCACTTTATTTTGGCACTTGTCACACATGAAAATATTCAAAGCTTTTTTTACAGAAAATCAAAGACTTGGTAATGACTGAGAACATCAACATACAAACAGATGCTTGCATGACATGCAACAGACATCAACCCTCTCCAGTGTGTCGGGGAGATGAGCTCCTTATCACGGCCCTTGATGAAGAGTCCCAAAGCTCTGATGCAGTGATTGGCCACTTTGAACAGTGTCTGAGAGGCCAGTGTAGTTTGCTTTTAGAATGGCTTTTGAAGATCTAAGCAGGCACCATCCAAAACACAGAAAGAAGTCGGCACGACAAACATTTTAAATGCACAATAGAATCACACTCTTTATAAGAGCCAGTTCACCCGAAAATGAAAATCCTATCATCGTTTATTCATCCTCATGCGAGTTTGGAACTAAATGATGACAGAATTTAAATTTTGAGGTAAACTGTCCATTTACCATCACACTGGTCATTGTACAGTGTCCTGCATGAATGAAACCTTCACAGACTCAGTCTGCGAGTATGGAAAGATCCTAATCTCTAAATGCTAAAGACATAAAATTGAATTGTACAGATAGAATACAGAGGAATTAAGATCCAGGGTGTTGAAAGCTTATAGCAGGTGTCAAACACTCTCAGGATCTTGCTTTTCCTGTCATAGAGTCCTGAAGCGTGATGGGGAGGGTGGTTTTCAGAGAAAGTGGTTGGTGCTTCAGTGCTGGAGAGGGGCGGTGCTGTGCGTCACCTGTTCGATCCAGGGCAGGTAACGGCTGACCCGTGAATACACACCTGGGTACGAGGGGTCACCGCAGCCGTGACCCCAGGAAATGACCCCTGTCAGTACCCAGCGCCCTGCCTCGCCCTGGCACACTAGCGGACCCCCGCTGTCGCCCTGGCAGCTGTCAGCATGCTTTCTGAGGTCAGACGTCATACTGCCAGCACACAGCATGTCGTGGCTAGTGAAACGCTCGCCATAACGCTTCTTACATTGCCACGAGGGCAGAAGAGGAACCCAGGCCTGAAGAAGAGTGCTGGGATGCTCAGTGTCTGAAAAATAAGGGGAAAACAAAAGGTGAAACACCCTTTACAATCCATTTAAAGGGACAGCTGCTCAAAAAATGATATTTCTGTCCCAATGTTGTTGCAAACCTATATGACTTTCTTCTGTGGAGCACAAAAGAAGATATTTAGAAGAAGAAAAAAACTGTCTATACAATGAAAGTTAATTTTCCTTTTTTCGGAAAGCTATCTCTTTAACTTTTATAATAACTGATAAAAAAGATTAAAAATTCAACCATTGTTTCTTTAGAATAACATGGAATTAAGAAGAATGTTGAAAAGTTTGTAATCATAATTTTTTTGGTATGCTTTTGAAAGAAGTCTTTTATGCTTACCAAGGTTGCATAGATTTGATCATAAATACAGTAAAACAGTAATGTTGTGAAATAATACTATAATAAAAAAAACTGTTATTATATATAATATATTGTAAAAGAATTGCAAAGATGTATTTTCAGCAGCCATTTACTCCAGTCTTTAGTGTCACATGATCATTCAGAAATCATTTTAATATTCAGATTTGGTGCTTAAGAAACGTTTCTTGATTCAGGATTCATTTTTTTCCCAGGTTTCTTTGATGAATAGAAATTCAAATCTACAGCTTAAATTTGAAATAAAAATCTTTTGTAACATTTTATCAATTTAATGTGTCCTTGCTGGAAAAAAGTATTAACGTCTTTTTAAAAAATCGTACTTGGCCTAAACCGTCGAACAGTAGTTTATCACAGTTTCCACAAAAACTATTATGCAGCAAAAACTATTTTTAAAAAGGACAATAATAAGAAATATTTCTTGAGCTCCAAATCAGCATATTAGAATGATTTCTGAAGGATCATGTGACACTGAAGACTGAAGTAATGGCTGCTGAAAATTCAGCTTTGCCATCACAAAAATAACACAGTTTGTTTAAATTGTAATAATATTTCAAAATATAGCTGTTTTTACTGTATTTTTTATTTAATCAAATAAATGCAGCCTTGGAGAACATAAGAGACTTCTTCTAAAAAAACATTAAAAAATCTTAAAGATTCTGAATGGTATTTTATATAAATTAATATATGTGTATATATAAAACATTTTTTAAATGTATTTCGTGTCATGCCAAAATTGTGGCCGTGTAAGAAGAACCCAGCATTACCTGTCATTCCCCAGCCAGTGATGACACATGACGCAGGTCTCTTGCCCCACTTACTGCCAGGTGCAGGCAGACAGGCGGCGTTAGTATGAGGGTTAAAGGACACGCACTTCCCCTCGGAGCCCTTCAGTCGGATCAGAGCCACATCATGCTCCCAGCTCTCCGTTCGGTACTTCCTGTGCACTTCTATGAGCTCTGGAGAGAGGACACGTTCAAAATCATCCTGCTCCTTCGTGTGATAATCCCCGAGCTTCACCACATACCGTGAAGCATCACTTCCAAACCTGTAGAATCAAGACATTCATTCATATCACAGACGATGCACTACCATTTCAATCATTCCCCTGCTAATCTCATTTTAATTAAGTGTTACTTTAGTGTTGATTTACAGGAGCTGTCTCATGTTAATTATTCCAAAACTGAGCACGACTGCTGCTTCATTACAGAGCAATGATTTGTACACATAAATACACACACGAACGTTCAAAATTGTGGGGTTGATATTATTTTTTTATGTTTAAGTCTCTTACACTCACTAAGGCTTTTTTTATATTATTTGATCAAAAATACAGAAATGAGTAATTTTGTCAAACATTAAACCAATTTCTATTTTAATATATTTTAAAATGTAATTCATCCCTATGATGAAATATTCAGCATCACTCCAGTCTTCCGTGTCAATTGATCTTTCATAAATCATTCTAATATACAGATTTGGTGCTGAAGAAACATTTCTTATTATTAAACAGTTCTTACAGGACTTTTTAGAAATACAAAACTTTTTTTAACATTATAAATGTCTTTACTGATTATTTTGATCAATTGAATATGCCTTTGATGAATAAAAGTATTCATTTCTTTCAAATAAATAAATTACTGACCCCAAACTTCTAAACATACAGTAATTAGTAGATAATTCAAGCTTCATAAAGTTTTAAAATTTAAATTAAAAGTAAATGTATTTGTGCCAGATGACATCTGGAAGACATGTTCACAATTCACAGTGCTTCTAAATTGGCCACTTATTTTTGTGCTGTCTGTAATTTCAATTCAATCAAAATCAGTTCAAAAGGATTATGGAGTCGGATTCGGTATTTGAGGAGCCTATAGGTGTAGCCGCTAATAGCACTGATGTCCAGCAGGTGTCTCTCTTACCGTTTGAAGCAGTGCGCTGCAGTGAGCAGCCAGCAGGAGTTTATGAGAGTGGCTCCACACAGAGGCTGATTCCCTTTAGATTGTGATCTGAGCCACAGGGACGCCTGCCAGGGCCAGTCGCCCCTGTGGGGTATACATATGTGCACAAACACACACACACACACACACACACACACACACACACAAACATAAACACAAACATA